CTGTCTATTATTAACAAACAAAACACCTCCCTTCCCAGTCCCCCCTTACTCTGGTTCAGTTTTCAACATGGTAGTTTTCAGCCTGTGACATTTTTTATGGATTTGTCTGAGTTCCTCCATTAGTTAAGTTCACAAGAGTATTGTTCACTGGTACTGCCTGGGCACCTAGTACATAACAGGTTCTCATTAAATATCTGTTTAATGAATGGCGATTCATAAATTCTCTTTTGAATTACAGAATAACGAGACTTCCTATTGCCTGTGTTTTTTTTTAATTTATTTTTAAAATTTACATCCAAGTTAATTAGCATATAGTGCAACAATGATTTCAGGAGTAGATTCCTTAATACCCCTTACCCATTTAGCCCATCCCCCCCACAACCCCTCCAGCAACCCTGTTTGTTCTCCATATTTAAGAGTCTCTTATGTTTTGCCCCCCTCCATGTTTTTATATTATTTTTGCTTCCCTTCCCTTATGTTCATCTGTTTTGTATCTTAAAGTCCTCATATGAGTGAAGTCTTATGACATTTGTCCTTCTCTGACTAATTTCACTTAGCATAATACCCTCCAGTTCCATCCACGTAGTTGCAAATTTTGATTTGATTGCCGAGTAATACTCCATTGTGTATATACCACATCTTCTTTATCCATTCATCCATCGATGGACATTTGGGCTCTTTCCATACTTTGGCTATTGTTGATAGTGCTGCTATAAACATGGGGGTACATGTGCCCCTTTGAAACAGCATACCCGTATCCCGTGGATAAATACCTAGTAGTGCAGTTGCTGGGTGGTAGGGTAGTTCTGTTTTTAATTTTTTGAGGAACCTCCATACTGTTTTCTAGAGTGGCTGCACCAGTTTGCATTCCCAGCCTGTGATTTCTTAAGCACTAAAAAATGTCTTGCCGAAGGAGGGCTGAAAGAGACTTTGCTGTTACTTCGGAGTTTTGAATTTGGGGCAGATTGTGCTCTTCTTCCATTTGCTTATTTGACCCTGAGGATCCATAACCCTGGACCTATAGTTTACTCATTTCATTAGTCAGATACTAGATGATACATGTTGTGTGGCGAGCATTGTGGAGGCCCGGGAGGGGGCTGGGCCCACAAGGAGCTAACAGTCTGCCAGAAGGGGCAAAGCCACAGTCATAGGGACTTCCGGGCATGAGTAAGATGGATACATAACACTCGTCAGTGATTTAGGTGGGGATTTCTTTTAGGAAAATGATAACATAGATTTAAAACAAGATTAATTTACAGTAGTTGGAAAAGAAACCTGCTGCTTCTTTTTTCCAGGCTTGTAAGTACTTTTGCAAACATGTTAATTCAGCACTTTCTTAGGTTGCACGTATATTTCACTTAAATTCTGATGATGGGCAGTTACTTAAAATTAAGAGTACAGAGGATTTAGAGCATTTGAGAGAATTTACAGTCTCTTCCATAACTGCTATTTTGAAGTCTGTGATCCCCTCCCCTAATCTGACATATGGTCTCATAGTTGTGACCAAAGTAAATGACACTGTTCCTATGGTACATCTACAGATCCTTATCAAAAACCCTTGGGCCTCGGGGCGCCTGGGTGGCTCAGTCGGTTAAGCGGCCGACTTCAGCTCGGGTCATGATCTCGCGGTCCTTGAGTTCGAGCCCCGCGTCGGGCTCTGTGCTGACGGCTCAGAGCCTGGATCCTGTTTCAGATTCTGTTTTTCCCTCTCTCTGCCCCTCCCCTGCTCACGCTCTGTCTCTCTCTGTCTCAAAAATAAATAAACATTAAAAAAAAAAAATTAAAAAAAAAACAAACCTTGGGCCAGATGTGTTCTGGTATTCAGAGGTTTTTGGATTTTAGAAAGGTAGGGCAGCATACATCCTGTTTATTATACCGTGCTCTCAGTGGGATTTGGGGGCAGCACTCTCTAATAAAACAGTTTCCGTAGTGAACTGTATAAGTGGACGACAAAGTATCATAAAGCTAGCTCGTGTCATTTCAGGTCTAGACAGGGGGCTACACACCTATCAAAAACAAAACAAACAAATGAAAACAAAATAAACCTCAATTTTCAGTGCCTTTTGGATTTTGGAATTGCAGACCAGGAGCACCATTGATTGAAGGTTAATGGTGTGGGAAGGACTCTGCTGGATGCTTTTCATCTGATTTATTCCCCACAGCGTTGAACTCAGGTGCTTTTATTCCTGTCTTCAAGTCATAAATAAAAGGTTCAGAGAGGGTGTAGCCCAGATTCGTGTGGCTGTAAAGCCTGTCTCTACGACAGTAAGCAGTCATGTGAGGGCTTTACCTTTGCTCGGGCTCCAGGCACTGGGAGCCACCAGCACCGCTCGCCCAAACCACTGCAGCCGCCTCTGTTTGGTCTCCTTACTTCTGCACGTGCTCTGCTTCCCTTTCCACACCTGTCCCTGCCCGCATACCTTGTTCTTTACATAGTATCAGAGTAATCCTTTAAAACGTAAATCCAATCACATCCCCCCACTACTTAGAGAACCTTCTGTAACTAACTTCCTATTGCAATTGTAGTAACATCCACCAGTTCTGACCGTGAACCACAAGGTCTATGTGGGTGGCACTGGCCCACTTCTCTGTCTCGCTTCCTACTCTTTCCCCCTCATTCAATGTGCAGCAGTCCCCTTGATCTTTTTGTTATCCCTTCAAAGGCCATGCTGGTTCCTGAGATACTCTTCCCCCATATCTTAATATGATGGACTTTCTCATTACTCAGTCTTCATTTAAACATTGCCTCCTAAGAAAGGTCTTTCCTGACCACTGTGTCTACAACCACCTCCCTCTGTCCCCACCAACAGAGCTCATCCTCTATGCCGCACCCCTATTTAATTTCACTGTGGCACTTTCAGCCATCTGATCATCATATTATCCATTCCTTTTATTTGTTTCTGTACATGATCATTTTCTGTCTTCCCTCAGTGGAATGCAGGTAGGGTTATAATCTGTCCTGTGCACATCTGTATACTCATGGTCAGAACAGTGCCTGACACTTGATAAACATTTACTGAATAAATGAAGAAAGGATACACAGAAAACAGCAGATGAAGAAAAAGGAGAAGATGAGGGGATTGAACGTGCAGTATTTAATTTTAATGAGTCATTCTTTCATTCTCCTGTATACCATTCAACTGTTCAGCACTTACCACTGCCCACTGGGTGTTGATATACAAAGATGAGTAAGACATAGAACCTACTTCCCAAAGAACTCACTGGGCTGTTATCAGAGCTGGGCAAAGTGGAGCGGACGGGCCTTGGAGGAATACTAGTGGGCCCTCCAACATCAAAGAAGACTTGTGGAGCCTCACAGATGAGTGGGAGTTGCCTGGTAGACAGAGGGCTCACATATTGCATTCACAGCAAAGAGAAAAGCATGTGACAAGTCATGGCGGGGGAGGTCTGGGCGGGGGTGGGGGGGGTCTTGCAGATACTTTGGCATCCATTCATTGATTATTGAGCCACTACTATAATAGCCTGCTCCCTTCCCTTTTACAGCTTGTGAGCTCTTTTGGCGCACAGTTATATAAGCAATTGCAGTAAAGGGGACAAGAGCTGTGATAGAGCACCAAACCAGGACCTCTTCAAGGGTGTCTGAGAAGTGACATTTGAGCTGAGATCTATAGGAAATAGGAGTTGACCAGGCGAAGGCAGTGGAAGGGGTAGAGCCAAGAACATTTCAGGCGGCAGCGTGTTGGACAGAAGGAGTTAGGAGTCAGGAGGGAGGGGTGGAAGTGTTCTTTTGCACACCACCATTGTGTAGGTGGAATTTAAAGCCATAATTCTAGAGGCGATCACCAGGGGAGTGAGTGTTAGAAGAGAGAGGAGATCCAAGGACTGGGCCCTGGGGTACTAGAATATTTACAAGCAATGTCTGTTCAAGTCCTTTGCCAGTTTTTAATTAGGTTGTCTTTTTGTTGTTGGGTTGTAAAAGTTCTTTATATATTCTGGATATTAGACCCTTATCAGCATATGATTTATAGATATCCCATTCTGTACATTCATTTTCTTCATAGTGGCCTGTGTCACACAAATGATTTTACTTTTGATAAAACCCAGTCTATCTGTGTTTTCTTTTGCTGCTTGTGCTTTTGCTGTGATAACAAAGATTCCGTTGCCAAATCCAAGATCATGAAGATTTACCCTTATGTCTTTTTTTCTAAGAGTTTTACAGTTTGAGCTCCTGTATTTAGATTCTATATATATGTTTTAGATTTTTCTTATGATTTAAGTCATTGCTACTCTCTTGGTCCAATGAGACCCATAAACTGGGGTCATAATTTACCCAGGTGAATTTACCTCAAATTGACTTTTCAAAGAAAGATTTTGGAGATTTCATATGGAAGTCTGTTTCTGTATTGCAAAGTCTTTAATGATTTCATAAACTTCACTTTATATATGTACTCTCGACCTTTTTCTTCTCAGCATGAAGAATTCTGATTCTACTCCTGTAGCCTTTTTACCTTCTCAGGCAGGTAGATAAACTTGTACCTGACATTCACTAGAAACAGAGAGTGGAGTGGAAGAGAGAGATCCCTTTCCTTTTTTGGCCAGTTGAGTTATGAAAGTAGAAAGTTTTGGTATGCAGTTCATGAGAGAAAAAGATTTTGTAACAAAGTCTTCTCTGTATTTATGTGGGGCTGAAATGGGTCTCTTTTTTTAATGTTTATTTTTGAGAGAGAGAGAGAGAGTGCGCGTGCGCATGCGAGTGGGGGAGGAGCAGAGAGGGAGACACAGAATCGGAAGCAGGCTCCAGGCTCTGAGCTGTCAGCACAGAACCCAACGCAGGGCTTGAACTCATGAGGTGCAAGATCATGACCTGAGCTGAAGTTGGACACTTAACCAACTTAGCCACCCAGGTGCCCAGAGATGAGTCTTCTAAAGAAGATTCTTCTTACCCTGTTGGTCTCCTAAACTGGACTGGGAAAATCAGATTAAATATGTTCTGTGTTACTTTTTTCAAACATCTCTTCTGTTCTAGGTTATTAGAAGAAATGGCCAATCATCGTCCACCAAGTTTTTTTATAGAAGAACTTAATGTATACTGTCAGAAGCACAACATGGTACTTAAGTATCAGGAACTGTCTAAGACAGGACCTCCACATAACTTAAGGTACATTGCTTTTTTCTTTTTTAAGATTGTATTTTTTTAGTAATTTCTGTATCCAATGTGGGGCTCGAACTTACAACCTCGAGATCAAGAGTCGCATGCTCGACTGACTGGGCCAACTAGGTCTTTCAAATTGCTGTTTTTTTGTTTGTTTGTTTGTTTTGTTTTTTTTAACATTTATTTATTTTTTATAGAGACACAGCACAAGTGGGGGAGGGGCACAGAGAGACAGGGAGACACAGAATCTGAAGCAGGCTCCCAGCTCTGTACTATCAGCACCGAGCCTGACGCGGGGCTCAAACTCACAAACCTCGAGATCATGACCTGAGCCAAAGTCAGATGCTTAACCGACTGAGCCACCCAAGCACATCTGATTGCTGGGGTTTTTAAAAGGTATATCTCCATGGGGTGCCTGGGTGGCGCAGTCGGTTAAGCGTCTGACTTCAGCCAGGTCACGATCTCGCGGTCCGTGAGTTCGAGCCCCGTGTCAGGCTCTGGGCTGATGGCTCGGAGCCTGGAGCCTGTTTCCGATTCTGTGTCTCCCTCTCTCTCTGCCCCTCCCCCGTTCATGCTCTGTCTCTCTCTGTCCCAAAAATAAATAAACGTTGAAAAAAAATTTTTTTTTAAAGGTATATCTCCATAAAATATGAACTGGGAAAATGGCCACTCTGGCACAATTTTGAAGTCAATAATTTAGCTATGGGGGCACCTGGGCGGCTCAGTCGGTTGAGCATCCAACTCTTGATTCCTGCTCAGGTCACAATCTCACAGATTGTGAGTTCAAGCCCCATGTCAGGCTCTGCACTAACAGTACAGAGCCTGTTTGGGATTCTCTCTCTTTCTTTCTCTCTCTCTCTGCCCCTTGCCTGTTGTCTCTCTGTCTCTGTCTCAAAATAAATAAATAAACTTAAAAAAAAGAAAAAAATAATAATTTAGCTCTAGAACAAAGATGATGTGCTGTTTGGTGTTTGGGGGTGACTGCTTAAATTCTATGTGGAATGGGTTAAAACCTTCAAGGTAGTCACAGGAGGCAGTGTAATTAGAACACTTGTCTTTAGATAATGTATGAATTTTATAATATTTTATGAATATTGTCTTTGTAATCAGGTTTAAATACCAAGTTATCATAGATGAGAGAGAATATCCAGAAGCTGAAGGTAAATCGAAGAAGGAGGCCAGAAATGCTGCAGCCAAATTGGCGATTGAAATACTTAATAAAGAAAACAAGGTGAGTAAATGCCCTTTTTAACTTTTCTCTGTGAGAAAATACCCATACAGAGTAAAGCCATTCACAAGTTCTTTTTTTTATTATTAATTAATTTTTTAGTTTTTTTTTTTTTTTTTTTCAAGTTTTTATTTTATTTTGGGACAGAGAGACAGAGCATGAGCAGGGGGAGGGGCAGAGAGGGAGACACAGAGATGGGAAACAGAGGCTCAGGCTCTCCTCAGCTGGGAAACTAGTGCGGACTCGGGAACTCCGCGGTTCCCTTGAGATCATTGACCTGTTGAAGTCGGACAACACCGACCTCATACACCAGAGAGAGCCCCTAATTTTTTAGTTTTTAAAACAAAAATTTTTTTAAATATTTATTTATTATTGAGAGACAGAGAGACACAGAGCATGAGCAGGAAGGGGTAGAGGGGGAGACAGCTAGAATCGAAGCAGGCTCCAGGCTCTGAGCTATCAGCACAGGGGAGCCCGACATGGGAACTCAGACTCACAGACTGTGAGATCATGACCTGAGCAGAAGTCGGACGCTTAACTGACTGAGCCACCAGAAGCGTATTTATTTTTTTAAGTTTTTTTTAAATGTTTTATTTATTTTGAAGAGAGAGGGCAAGAGTCTGGGGAGGGCAGAGGAGACACAGAATCGAAGCAGGCTCCAGGTTCTGCATTGTCAGCCACGCCCAGGCAGCCTGATCTTGGGGGCTTGAACTCCTGAGCAGAGATCATGACCCTGAGGCAGGCTTGGTCGGGCAGCAACAGCTGAGCCACCCAGGCACCCCATCTTTTTCTTTTTTTAAGTTTATTTATTTATTTTGAGAGAGAGAGCGAGAGCAAGTGGGGGAGGAGCTTAGGAAGAAGGAGAGAGAGAATCCCAAGCAGGCTCCATGCTATGAGCACAGAGTCTGACAAGGGGCTCAGTCTCACAACTGAGAGATCACTACCTTAGCTGATATCAAGAGTCGGTCTCTTCACCAACTGAGCCACTCAGGTGCTCCCACAAGTTCTTTTACATTCAGAAGTTCCGCCCCCCCCCATCTCCATTTCTGTAAAGCCCTGAATGAAAGATATATCTAGGAGATAGTGGGCAAAGCTTGGCCATACCTATTTAGAATGCTAATGGTAGTGGTAGCCTCTGAAGTTGGAAGAATGGGGAAAGGAAACAGTGTGAAATGAGCTGACAGGTCCTGGCAGGACCCCTCCACCTAAGTGAGCAGTGCAGTGGGAAAGGACAAAGAGGTGGAGGGACTGTGAGGAGGGTGATGTATCAGGAGGGCAGATGATCGAGAGCCTGATCAAGAGCTCTGTTCTAGGTGAGAACAGAGTAAAGAGTACAGAAAAAGCTGTCTGAAGAGATTCCAGTCGAAAATGTTTCTGAAATAAAGGAAGACCTGCATCCAGATTAAAACAACAGATCATAGAAAAATACAGAGCCACCAAGAACAAGATCGATCAATCATTGGGAAAGTCCTGAGCTCTAAGCGTGATGACAAAATCCTGCAAGCATCTAGGCAGAAAAGAAATTTTTTTTTTAATTTAAAAAAAATTTTTATTAAAATTTTTTTTCAAAATTTCTTTTAATGTTTATTCATTTTTTGAGAGAGAGAGAGAGAGAGAAAGACAGATCATGAGCAGGGGAGGGCCAGAGAGAGACAGATACACAGAATCTGAAGCAGGTTCCAGGCTCCGAGCTGTCAGCACAGAGCCTAATGCGGGGCTCGAACTCACGAACCTCGAGATCATGACCTGAGCCGAAGCTGGACACTTAACCGACTGAGCCATCCAGGAACCCCCAAAAGTAAATTATTTAAAATGTAAAAATGGGGGCACCTGGGTGGCTCAGTCAGTTAAGCATCCGACTTCGGCTTGGCTCATGATCTCACAGTTTGTGAGCTTGAGCCCCGCGTAGGGCTCTGTGCTGACAGCTTGGAGCCTGGAGCCTGCTTCAGATTCTGTGTCTCCCTCTCTCTCTGCTCCTCCCTGCTCACGCTCTGTCTCTCTCGGTCTCAAAAATAAATAAGCATTAAAAACAATTTTTTTTAATGTAAAAATGAAGGGGTGCCTGGGTGGCTTAGTTGGTTAGCTATCCGACTTCAGCTTCATGAGTTTGAGCCCTACATCAAACTCTGTGCTGTCAGCGTGGAGCCTGCTTCGGATCCTCTTGTGTCCTTTACTCTCTGCCCCTCCCCTGATTGTGCTCTCTCTTTCTCAAAGATAAATAAATACTTTAAAAGTATATAAAAATGAAAAAAAATCATACTGTCCATAGCAACGTTAAAAGCCAAGGGATAGTCGAGAAATGGCTGTAACATGAGACAAGAGCTCGTTTATATGTGGGACAAGAGAGGATCATTCTCACATATTGAACATTTGAAAACATTGACTTTCAAGATACTTTCCTGAAAAATCTTACTCGATGATGTCTCCCTGGTAACTCAAATAGGGAAAAGTAAATCAGGCAAAATTGTAAACTCATGAATTGTTAATGAGCCAGAAAATCGAATCAAGAAGTTAGAAAAAGAACAATAGAATGCCTTCCCCTAAAGAAGCAGAAGAAAATAATAACAAGGTCAGACGTTAATGTACAAGAAAACAAAGAAATAATAAAGATGGTCAATAAAACTAAAAGTTCTCTGACAAGATTAAATAGAAAAACTTTGGACAAGCTTTCGTCAGATTAAAAAAAGTACATTCCATTCTTATAATGGAAGGAATGTGCTATTATATTCATCTTTCCCACTAAGGTGTGATCCAGGATATGGCTTTACTTCAATTTTGGTTGTCTTCATTTTTGAGATTTACAAAGGGTGAGTGAGACAGTGTTATAGTATTTTGCGTGGATAAACAAGAAAGTTAACTACTTTGTTTTTCTTTAGGAAACTATCAAAGGAAAATGGTGGTTCCTATGGTTAACACTTACCCTTGTGGATTTTTTCTGGTAGAAAAAGATACATACTTAGACTTGTACTGAAGGTAGTAGAGTAGGACAACACATAAGATCTAAATTGTCTTTCAAATTATTCTTCTAGTAATCTTATTAAATTTTATTAAATAAACTAAATTTTATTTAGTATTTATCAAAATAGTTCAATTTCTGTTTTCATGTATATTAAGCAAGATTTTTCTTTCTTTGTAGGCAGTTAGTTCTGTATCACTGCCAACAACACATTCATCAGAAGGATTAGGATTAGGATCCACTGGGAATTTCATAGGCCGTATCAATAGGCTTGCCCAGAAGGAACAACTGTCTGTAAATTATGAACAATGTGAACTGAAAGAACCTGGGCCTGAAAGGTGAGACGTAATTCAGCTTTTCCTTCTGTTTCATTGTATCTAAGCAATATAACAGCAATATAACGGGCTTGTTTCATGTCTAATTTTCCAGAAATATTTGTCTTCCCTTTTTGTATATTCTGCAGGGAAGGTTTTATAGAACTCATATGCAATTGGACATCTTTGTAATTGAAATATTAAAATGCTTACTTGCTGAAATCTTGGGACCCATATACCATAATAGATCAAATCTGGGGAATCCTTTGTTTCTGAGGTATATCTGGATGGTTTAGTCTGCAGGAGACCTATGAGAGTGTGAGGTGGCCCTGCTCGGGAGTGTGGGGGTGCAGAAATATTTCCATCCCAGGGGTCACAGTGGGAGTGGCTAGATGAAAATGGCTGTGCCACACGTGTAGGCAAAATGACTCTCCTTCTTAAAAAAATTTTTTTTTTTTTTTCAATGTTTATTTATTTTTGGGACAGAGAGAGACAGAGCATGAACGGGGGAGGGGCAGAGAGAGAGGGAGATACAGAATCGGAAACAGGCTCCAGGCTCTGAGCCATCAGCCCAGAGCCCGACGCGGGGCTCGAACTCACGGACCGCGAGATCGTGACCTGGCTGAAGTCGGACGCTTAACCGACTGCGCCACCCAGGCGCCCCAAAATGACTCTCCTTCTACCATCATCAGATTAGAGAGCTGTTTGTCCAGGTGTTTGTCCTACAAATTCAGTTAAATGGTGTCACTCCCTAGACAAATACCAGGTATTAAAGAAATGGGTTTTAGTCGTAGACTGTGAGGAGACCAGGATTTTAGGAATATGATTTGAGGGATGGAGTAGAGCTTCAGAGCTGCCAAGACTTTGGAAGTAAGGATAAAGAATAGATAAGAACTAGGAAAAGCAGAAAGCAAATGAGTCTGAAGGGGATTGTTTCTTGGTTACAACCAACAGGTAAATGAGAGAAAAAAAATCTGACTGACAAATAACCCAAATAACTACCTTAGGATACTGTCCTCTGAATTATTTTTAATGTTTGTTTATTTTGGGGAGACAGAGTGCAAGCAGGGGAGGGGCAGAGACAGAGGGTGACACAGAATCTGAAGCAGGCTCCAGGGTCTGAGCTGTCAGCACAGAGACCGACGGGGGGCTTGAACCCACAAAGCACGGGATCATGACTTGGGCAGAGGTCGGACGCTTAACCTACTGAGCCACCCATGTGCCCCACTGTCCTCTGAATTGACTCAGCTATTGACTATTTTACTCTGATGGCTTTTAGGCCAGAACCAGGATGAGAAAAGCAGGATAGTATTCATTGGCATGAAATAGTGAAGTGTGTGGGTCAATCTCAATAAAGTAAGAGGCCATTTTATTTTTTCATAGCTCACCTGTTTGGTTCCTTTGGCTTAAGTGCTCTAACGTCAGTTCCCTAAAAGAGAGAAGTCTAGTTAGAGGTGCCTGAGAGAATAAGAGCCATAGAAACCCTCCAGTCATTCAACCTAATTCTGCTTTCAGGGCCCAGCAGCAAAGACTCACCCTGGTTGGATGTATTTGCCTCTATGGCAAATAATACTAGAATAGTTTTGCGGTAATATATAGTAACTCGATGATACTTACCATGTCCATTGCTTTGCTACCTTAAATATAGTTCTCATGTAATTGTTCAAGTATCCTTGCCCAACCACAAATATTCTTACATATAATATGAGGGGTGTGTGGACTTCAGCATGGGGCTTTTGTCTTTTGTACTGTGGGGATTTTCTTAGGTTTGGGGGCACATGAGCAGGGGACAGAAAATGCTGAAGTTAGAACAAATCTATGATTTGCCCATTCCCTACAAAACACTATAACCTTATTGTTTCTACTGTAGATGTCCTACTTTCCCTACTCAGGCTTTTTCTTTCCATTTGAGCATCTCTGAAAAATTTACCAGATCTCTCTCGTCCTTCTTTTCCTCCATATCTTTTGATCTTTGAGGAATTAAAAAAAATGTTTTTAATGTTTATTTATTTTTGAAAGAGAGTGAGAGCACAGGGGAGGTGCAGACAGAAAGAGGGACAAAGGATCTGAAGCGGGCTCTGCATTGACAGCAGAGAGCCCGATGTGGGGCTTGAACTCAAGAATGCTGAGATCATGACCTGGGCTGAAGTCAGAAGCTTAACCGACTGAGCCACCCAGGTGCCCCAAGGAATTTTTTAAAAGTTTTTTTAAAAAATTGTATCTATTTATTTTGAGAAAGAAAGAGAACATGAGGGGGGGAGGGGCAAAGAGAGAGGTAGAAAGAGAGAATCCCAGACAGGCTCCACACTGTCAGCACGGAGTCTGATGCAGGGCTAAAACTCATATGACCTGAGCTGAAGTCAAGAGCTGGATGCTTAACAAACTGAGCCACTCAGGTGCCCCAACCTTTGCAGAATTTCAGTGAAGCAACAAAGAGAAGTTGGCTGGAAAATGCAAGCTAGGATGTCAACCAATCCTGGTTATTCTGGGAAACTGGTCAGCCAGTTTTGAAGATTTATATCATACAAGCTACCAACTGTAAATCTACCTATCACATCATATTAAGGTCTTTGTTAATATGTGTTTGTTTCCACATCATAAATTAGATTCACTGTTTTTTGGTATTTGGGTTACATATTCTCCATCATTTCTCCTAGATTTCATTATAGATGCAAAATTGGACAGAAAGAATACGGTATTGGTGTAGGTAGTACTAAGCAAGAAGCCAAACAGTCAGCTGCTAAGCTTGCGTATGAGCAGATACTTTCAGAGAAAACCTCAATGGTACGTACTGCCTTTGGATTTAACTTTTAAATTTTAAAATTCCCTTTGAAGAGTGCAAGTTTGACTTCCTCCTTGATGATTTGGATGGCTTTTATTCCTTTGTGTTGCCTAATTGCTGAGGCTAGGACTTCCAATACTATGTTGAATAACAGAGGTGAGAGTGGACAACCCTATCGTGTTCCTGACCTTAGGGGGAAAGTTCTCAGCTTTTCCCCATTGAGGATGATATTAGCGATGGGTCTTTCATATATGGCTTTTATGATCCTGAGGTATGATCCTTCTATTTCTACTTTCTTGAGGGTTTTTATCAAGAAAGGATGCTGTATTTTGTCAAATGCTTTCTCTGCATCTATTGAGAGGATCGTATGGGTCTTGTCCTTTCTTTTATTGATGTGATGTAGCACATTGATTGTTTTGTGGATATTGAACCAGCCCTGCATCCCAGGTATAAATCCCACTTGGTTGTGGTGAATAATTCTTTTAATGTATTGTTGGATCTGGTTGGCTAATATCTTGAGGATTTTTGCATCCATGTTCATCAGAGAAATTGGTCTATTCTTTTTATTGGGGTCTTTGGTTTTGGAATCAAGGTAATGCTGGTTTCATAGAATGAGTTTGGAAGTTTTCTTTCCATTTATATTTTTGGAAGAGCTTCAAAAGAATAGGTGTTAACTCTTCTTTAAGTGTTTGGTAGAATTCCCCTGGAAAGGTTAGACTGTGTTTAGATGATGCCAGGACAGCCAGTAACATAGCAAAAGGATTCCTCCATTCTGTGTTTCACCAATGAGCCATGAGCCATGAGCCATGGGGCCATGAGGCCCCAGAGATCAAAGTTCTGTTGGCAGTTCAGGGTTTGTTTGTTTGTTTGAATATTTATTTATTTATTTTGGGAGAGAGGGAGAGCACGTGCATGAGCGGGGGAAGGGCAGAGAGAGGGAGCGAGAATGAGTCTCAAGCAGGCTCTGCACTCGTAGCACAGCCTGATGCAGGGCTGGAACTCACAAACTGTGAGATCATGACCTGACTGGAAATCAAGAGTTGGTCGTCCAACCAACTGAGCCACCCAGGCGCCCCCCTCAGGGTTGTTTTGTAAATCCAGATCAAGCATTCGTAAATAAACGTGGTAGTTAGCACACAGAGACTGAGTCAGTATGGAGCAATAATTTAATTGCTCTTCAAACTCCTAAGGGGTACTCTTTCTTTCAGAAAGCTGACTCGGTATTAGCTGGTTCTTTGATTACTTCGCCTGGTGACTCTGGAAGCAACACTTTGGTGAAAAGCATATCGTAAGTATGAGCAAACAGCTGTGATATTTAACAAATTAAGATTGCTGCCTGAAAGTGCACATTTTATGAAAATGTTGAAGGAGAATTTAGAGAAAGAAATTACTGATCAACAAAAAATAGTCAGAATTCACAAATTAACAATTATTCCCCCTTCTTCCAGTGCTCCTGAATCACCATCTGAAAATGATTTCTTGGAAAATTCATCAGGAGGAAGTTGTGACAGGGGCCGTGTAAACAATTCTTCATCTCCTATGGTATAGTATTAGCCTCTAGCTTCCTAATTAGTTTCCTTATTTTCTTTGTATTTCCTCATTTAAAAAGTATCTCCCGTACCCAACCGTAATTTTTCTATTATCTGGTGCACTCTTATTTCATACTGATATGTGGCAGCATTTGACTTCCTCCTTTATTAACTCCCATTCCTCACATGCAAAATTCCTCCACTATTCACTCTCATCTTCTCCCTACTCACCTTCATGTTTTCATATATTCCTATGATCATGCTTATCTTCTATTAATTAGTACTTGAAAGGTCCATTAATATAATTCTGCTCCTGTTTTATTTTCAAGAGAGAGAGAGAGAACACGAACATGTGTGGGGGAGAAGGGCAGAGGGAGAGAGAGAGAAATCTTTTTTTTTTAATATGAAATTTATTGTCAAATTGGTTTCCATACAATACCCAGTGCTCATCCCAACAGGTGCTCTCCTCAATGCCCATCACCCAACCCCCCTCCCTCCCACCCCCCCTCCAATCAACCCTCAGTTTATTCTCAGTTTTTAAGAGTCTCTTATGGTTTGGCTTGAGAGAGAGAAATCTTAAGCAGCCTCCACACTCAGCACGGAGCTTAACACAGGGCTCAATCCCAAGACCCTAGGATCATGACTTGAGCTGAAATTAAGAGTCAGATGCTCAACTGACTGAGCCACCCAGGCACCCCAGTTCTGCTCTTGTTTTAAAAAATCAGAACTAATGTTAAAAATCAGATAATTTGGGGGGCATCTGGATGGCTTAGTCGGTTAAGAATCTGACTTCAGCTCAGGTCATGATATCGCAGTTCACAAGTTCAAGCCCTGTATGGGGCTCTGTGCTGACAGCTCAGAGCCTGGAGCCTGCTTCAGATTCTGTGTCTCACTCACTCTCTGCCCCTCCCCACTCATGCTCTGTCTCTCTCTCTCTCTCTCTGTCTCTCTCTCTCTCAAAAGTAAATTAAAAAATCAGATAATTTTTGTGGTGATGATTAGTGTTATAAAAGTGTCCTGTTTATAATGAGTGATGAACAGATCAATAAGAAAAAGAAAAGTGGGTCAGTATAAAGATGTGCAAAATATCTGAACAAACAGGTCAGAGAAGAGATACCCAAATAGGCCCCAACATATGAAAAGATGCTTCACTGCATAGTAATGGTGAACATGCAAATCAAAACACAGTTAGGTATCATTTTAAGCCCGTTACCATGGCAAAATTTGAGTCTGGCAGTACTAAACATTGGCACAGCTGTGTTCCAGTTATGACCGCTATACGCTGCTGCTGGTGGAAGCGTAAGTTGGTGCAGTCATTGTGGAGAACGGTTTGGCGACACGTAGTGAAGTGGAGGGTGTGTGTGCTGTGCCTTCAGGCAGTTCCCTTCCTGGGGAATGTGTACTAGAGAAACACTCATACGTATGTACAGAGACATTGGATAAGCACGTTCTTTGCAACAGCATTGGTAACAGGAGGAGATTAGAAAAAAAACATTGTCCATTAACAGAATGGCTAAATTAACCATAGCTTAGTCATCACACAATACTGAGGCTGGTAGGTGCTATGAGCTCAAAAGTTCTTAGTTCGATGCTCCCCACTCTGTGTCAACATACTCAACTTGGTAAAACTACAAAGTTACCAAACCTACCAGAATAAAAGTGAATATGAATAAAGAATAGCTATGTGAAATTAGTTTTTGAGATATATCCAGGACTTCTCTTTTTTTCTTAACTATTAAAATTAAATTGTTGGGGCGCCTGGGTGGCTCAGTCGGTTGAGCGGCCGGCTTCGGCTCAGGTCACGATCTCGCAGTCCGTGAGTTCGAGCCCCCCGTGTTGGGCTCTGTGCTGACAGCTCAGAGCCTGGAGCCTGTTTCAGATTCTGTGTCTCCCTCTCTCTGACCCTCCCCCGTTCATGCTCTGCTCTCTCTGTCTCAAAAATAAATAAACGTTAAAAAAATTTTTTTAATTGTTCATTTTTGCTAAAAATGAATATTTCAGCATTGCCATTTTTTAAAACAGTTTGGATTTTTTAAAAATTTTATTTATTTTTGAGAGAGAGAGAGAGAGAGAACGAGCAGGGGAGGGGCAGAGAGAGAGGGAGACAGAGGAGCCCTAGCAGGCACTGCACCATGAGCCCAGAGCCCGATGCCGGGCTCAAACCCACGATCTGCAAGATCGTGACCTGAGCTGAAATCAGATGCTTAACCGACTGAGCCACCCAGGTGCCCCAGCATTGCCATTTTTAACTGATCAGATCAGAAACACTTGGGGAATTACTTTAAACTAGTCCCTGAGCTCCATTTCTTCTTCATTAGCACTGTGGATGACTTGGTGAGACCCACCAGCCCGGGGCGTCGCCAGGGAGGCCACGTTCTGTACCAAGGGAATCTGTGCTTCTGCTGAACATGCCCTAGGACTACCTTTTTGCCCTTCCCACCATGTCTATCTGGTTGCTATAATAGATGAGAACACTGATGTAGCCAACCTGAGAAGCAGGGCATGACGAGAGTACACAAGTTGATGATGCTGTTCATCTAAGGGACCAAAAAAATGTCACAGAACCATCTAGAAGTACAGCAGGAAGAAGAGCAAGGTCAAGCAAGAGAATTGATTTAATCATCTGAAACTATTTTTCATTTTCTTTTATTATAGGACAATGTCAGAAATAGTGAAAAGAAGGTGAAAAGGTGAGTATCATTATGCAGTGACTGTATTTTGAAACGAAGTTTTATTTCAGACTTCGTTTGTTAGCCTTATTTACTAAGTCTTTAGTATTTGTAGAATACTATACATCGTCATTTGTGCGGAGTTTCAGAGGTGGAAAGCATGGTTGAGGATCACAGAAAGCTTGACATCTGCAAACAAATAATTGTAAATATGTAGAGAAATCTTTGAATGGATGTACATACTGCACTGTGGACATAAAGCCTGTAGGGGGTCACTAAAGTCATTGGTTAAGGGAATTATTTTGGATGAGGCTGACAGATGTGGGCTTAGGGAAGTACTCTCCCATGAATTGTGTTATTTTACAGACAGCTGGGTAGGGTAGAGATGGTGTAATGACTTGGGCAAGAAAAGAAAAAGACCAAATGTTACATAAATGATAGTGGATCGGTTTCTTTCTTCTTCTTCTTCTTCTTCTTCTTCTTCTTCTTCTTCTTTTTTTTTTTTTTTTTTTTTTTTTTTTTTTTTGATGTTTATTTTTGAGACAGAGATAGAATGTGAGCAGGGGATGGGCAGAGAGAGGGAGACACAGAATCTGAAACAGGCTCCAGGCTCTGAGTTGTGAGCACAGAGCCCGACATGGGGCTCGAACTCATGTACTGTGAGATCATGACCTGCGTCGAAGTTGGACACTTAACCAACTGAGCCACCCAGGCGCCCCACGTGGATTGTTTTTTTGACCTGAAGAGAAAAACGAGGACGTAATTATAAGTCAGCCGTGAGGGTGAGGTGGCAGGAGGAGCCATTATGAGCCACCGATATATTCTGAAGAGTAGGAGGTGTGTCAAGGAAAGATGATTCCTGATGTGGGTGTTTGGGTGGAGAGAAGAGAGATGTACATGTGAGGTGATCCAGACATCAGCCATTGGTTATCGTGGCAGTGAGGAGGGCGAGGAGAATTTGCAAGACAGACCATACGAGAAGAGTGGGCAGGGTTTGAGGGAGTATGGTTCCAGTAACTGGGGGAAGAAGCAATGGAGAAAGGATTTGAAGACTATTCCTTGTGGGTGAGATGTAGTCGGGAATCAGGCATCATGGCTGATGGCCTAACAGCTGATGGTGTTAGGAACCTGAGGGCTTAAAGGGAAGATAGCAATTGGAAGAGGTTTAGGTTTAAGTGGGGTTTGAACTTCCAAAAGCAGGTGTCATGGCCAGTAAGGAATAAAGTACAAAGGGTAAAATGACCGGAATGACAGTGCAAGCAGATAGAAGTCCTTTGGTTCTGAGTCTGGAGGGAGAAAAAGGGAGGCTGGGGCACACCAGCAATAAATGTGTTCAGGCAAAAATAATAAATAAATAAATAAATAAATAAATAAATAAATAAATAAGGAATCAGAAAAGGAATGAAAAATCATTAGTTGACAGAGGAGAACTGTTAAGTTTATTGTTTTATAAAGGAAAAGGTGAATGGTTTCAACCATGTAATTCTAATAGTTGACTGAATATATAAAAAAAACTAGTGCGTGACATAAAACTTCTTCTAACGTTATATTTGATTTCAGTTTTATTTGAGTTTCATATTCTTGTCTTAAATCTTAGAAGTTTGGCACCTACATTTAACTCTCCTGTGACAAAAGACAGCAGGTGTTCTGTGGAACTCAGGTAAGAGGGAAAGCTGTGACAAAGAATCTGGTTACAGATATGTTCGCCCCTTCGACAAAAGTTTCTTAAGGGACTGTTGTTCGTCAGCCAGGCTAAATTATATTTCTACCTGAACAGTTTAATTTTTTAGTACACTCAGATCCGCAAAGGATCATTGTCTCCTGGAGACGGAAAGTTTAGATGAATCCAGGTGGAATGTGGTAAGTGTAGATCTACTGGATAGTTATGTGAATTTTTCTGACATCCATGGACATTTTTAATATTGAAGGTAAATATTTCTATAAACCAATGATTTCTTAGAAAAGACTCTTGCAGGAATCCGAACAGCTCCACTTGAATATGTTTTCCACTTTCCAGCTCCATTCCAGATTTCACTTTGGAAAAAGGTTCCCCTTGTGGTAGATTGCATGTTTGGGTTTGAATAAAGTATCTAAAAAAAATGAAGCCTATTTGCAATAGGAGGACACTGAATACAAGTTTAAAAGAATCTGCAAACATTTCATAAGTCCCTAATACACACCTGGCACAGTTTTGGGCATTGGATTTAGAGTGGAACAAACAGAAACATCTTCCGCCCTCACAGTTTTGTGGGGAGAATAATTCGATGAAACATCTGTAATTGACACGCATGGTCTTAGAAGCAATGACATGGTAAGAAGTGGAAATAGGAACCTTGGGTTTAGTGTGAGGGGTGAAGCAAGGCTTCCTGTGGGGTCACCGGTGTGGGGGCGCCTAGAGGATGAGTTAGGACAGGGAGGTGGAGAAGCTCTGTGGCTCTGCAAAAGAGCCACATGTGGAAAAGTAAAGGTAGGAAAGGTAGGTGAGTGTTCAAGGAGCAGAGGCTGTGTGCTTGGAGTGCAGGGAACAAGGACACGGTGCCATGAGACAGGCTGGGCAGGGAAGTAGGAGACTCCTTATAGGCCATCTAAGGACTTTCTGGCTTTGGCTTAATGAAAAGGAGGCTATTGGAGAATTTAGGCAATAGAGAGACATGATCATACTCCATTTTTTCACACTCGTTGCTGTGTGGCTCATGAAGCAGCCTGATAGAAGGTTGGACTAGTGTATAGCTGTTGGAGATGAGGAAAGTGGGTGCATACCAGGGATAGGTTTTGGAAGTAGAATTGGCAGGGCTTAATGATGGAATGCAGGACAGGAGAGAGAGGGGAACCCCAGGTAGTTACAGACCTAGGCAGGCTCAGAGAACATGCTCATTTCTCTTATGACAGCTTGGTGATAGCTGTGGAACATAATACAGCACTTCTCTCTATTTTTTTTATTAAACAATTTTTTTTTAATCCTTATTTATTTTTAGGGAGAGAGATGGAGACAGAGCTCAAGCAGGGGAGGGAGAGAAAGAGAGAGACACAGAATCCAAAGCAGGCTCCAGACTCCAAGCTGTCAGCACAGAGCCCAACGTGGGGCTTGAACTCACGAACCGTGAGATCATGACCTGAGCTGAAGTCGGACACTTAACACACTGAGCCACCCAGGCGCCCCATGGCACTTCTTTCTAAAGTTTTATACTTGAGATAAAATTATCATGGCTTTTGTACCAGCCAGAAGTTGAACGTAATTACCAGAGGTGGTCTGTTATTTTGGGAGCAGGAGCAGGAGTAGCTATCCTTTGTGATTCAAGAGTTTCTGTGGAGTAGACTCTTCTCATTTAGGAGGAGAGAGCCATGTTTCTTGTAGAGTCCATTTTGCCAGTGACATTAAGGGAAAGTGGAAGGGTTGGGAGGCTGGGTGGGCAGTGACCATTGAACCTCAGAATAACCATGTATTTTTTATCTTTTAAGGTTTACCAGTGATTTTACAGAAATAGAACCGATTGGTTCAGGTGGATATGGCCAAGTTTTCAAAGCAAAACACAGAATTGATAGGAAGACTTACGTTGTTAAACGTGTTAAATATGATAGCGAGTAAGTAGTAAATGTTTTATTTCTTTGAATGAGGTGTGTGAACCTGCACTATTCTTTTTTTATGTTTTTCTCTTCTTCATTAGCATATTATTTAGTTTTTTCTCGTCTTCCTCAAGCTCTGTCATCAGGGGCTTGGCTTACTGTGAAATGACCTCACTTTACTGTGGTTATTAAAAAAAATAATAATAATATACCATTGATCATTCTTTTGAGCTTGTCTTGATGAAAACAGAAGTAATAGAATCATCTAGCTTACAGTGACCTTTGAGATTTTCTGGTCTCCTCTCCTTTATCGGAAGGACTAGGAGACTGAGACCCAAAGCTGGGAACTGATCTGTCAAAGGTAAATAGGTAACTGTTTGTCTATTATTCCATCATACACCACTCCAAAATGTAGTGGCTTAAAAACAACAGGTATTATTATCTCTCATGGTCCTCTGAGTTGGCTGTGGCCATCTGGGCCATCCTCACACGGGGTCTCTCACGCATTTGCTGTCAGAAGTCATCTGAAAGCTTGGCTAGTGATGGCTGTCGCACATGGCTAGCAGTTGATGCTGGCTGTGGGCTGGAATTTCAGCTGTTAACCAGAGCGCCTCTACGTGGCCTCTTTATGTCACCTGGGCTTCTCACAACCTAGTCGCTGCATTCCAAGGATTGTCCTCAGAGACAGTCATCCCAAGAGGGAACAGCGAAGGCTACTTTTGACCTAGTCTTGGAAGTTCTACATAATATCGGTTAAACAACATCACTAAGGCCAGCTCAGACTCAGGTAGAGGGCAAATAGACTCTACCTCTTAATCTGAGGAGTGGATGTATGTATGGGGAGGACATGAATTGATGACCATCTTTGGATGCTACCTACTATGGTAACAAGGTGGAGATTTAGAACTTGTTTTCTGGAATGCTGATCCATTGTGTTCCCACTATAACCCCTTGCTCCCCATGTTTGTTTCATGTATTATCTGCACCCACTTACTCCCACCCTTCCCACTTACTGGATAGAACTCCTGCAGAAAAGAGAACATGTGGGAAGGAAGTATTAAATCACAAGCTCACCGGTTCACCAATCTTGCTTGTTGGTTTCTGACAGTTGGACTATGTATAACTTGGTATACCTATCCCTCAAGGACTAGGGAAGGATATGGGAAACAGATATGAGCTATGGAAAATGACATGAGTAAAGGAGAAGCAGGCATGGAGTCCTGGCCATTCCTCATCTCAGCCAGACACACCTACTTCCCTTCCCACGGACAATGCCTTGCCTTGTCCACCTGGCATCAAAACAAGGCTTTTTTTCCCGTTACATTATTTTGCTTAACATGAATGAAGTGTTGTTCTTTCCATTCAGTAGCATTTTTCTTAATGGTAATATGTAATGATGATAAGAGTACAGTATCTTGGACATTTTTAGTAGCTTCATAAATTGGTATAACACAGTTAAAAATATACGTGGAGGGGCACCTGGGTGGCTCAGTCAATTAAGCATCCAACTTCAGCTCAGGTCACGATCTCGTGGTTCTTGAGTTCAAGCCCCACATCAGGCTCTGTGCTGACAGCTCGAGCCTGGAGACTGCTTCAGATTCTGTGTCTCCCTCTCTGTTTGCGCCTCTCCATGCTTGTGTTCTCTGTCTCTCAGAAATAATTATTAAATTAAAAAAAATATACTTGGAATATTTATACACCTTGACCCATGGATTTCCTATCTGGGAACCTATTCTAAGGATATTATCCAAATTATGGAAAAAGTTATACAAGAAGATGTAAATCACTGTGCCATTATAACAGTGAAAAATTAGAACAAACTAAAGGTCCAGCAACGAAGGAATGATTAAATATGTTTTGTTCTCTCCCCTGTTCGATGGCTAAGCTTACATACGGAAAATATTCAGACATGAAATGATATGATGCTGGAATTTGCTTCAGAATAATCCAGGGAAGATGAGGAAGTGGGTGAGAGTATAGATGAAACGAGATTGGCCAGGAGTTAATAACAGTTTCATTTGGGTAATGGCTAGGTAGCAGTTCATGAAATTATTTGCTCTACTTTTTTATACTTTAGAAATCTTACATTAAAAAGTTTACATGATGGTTATACAAATTGTATAACAAGGAAAATGGTAAAGATAACCTGTTATATGGAGAAATAGGATAAAAACTATATACTATAATTACAAGTATATAAAAATATATAGGAAGAAAGACTATAAGAAACAATCCAAAACGATAACTGATTGTGTTAGGGCTGTTGATGGATGAGTACTTTTTTTCCCTTTATTTTTACAAATGTTATGTCATGTAGTTATGGAACTTTGCAAATTAGAAAATGGAATTGTAAAATGTTTGCTTATCTTTTCTCCTCATTGAAATCTCAAATTTATTCCATGTAGCATAGCATTTTCTCAGCTCTTGACTCCAGATCACTATAAAGCTCCCACACGTACAGTGAAGTCTTGCTTTCTCTGCGTAGATATCTCCTTTGTGTATTTCTGTTATACATTAAAATTTTTGAGTTAGGTTCATAATGTTGCCTGGGTTACCCTTGCTGCCCTATTAGGGTTTGCTTATGAAATCCAAAGTGATTTCAACACAAGGTTAAACAAAATATGATGTATGAATTAGCAACCAAAAATGCTTGACTGGCATTTCAAAGACGACTACAAATGGCTTTTAAAATGTCTGATGCTTGAACTTGATTAAGTCACTGCTTTTTCTCATGTTGAGAGTGAGGACAGCCATGTTTTTTCTGTGTGTTCAGTTTTTCCTTTCGAGTACTCCTGGCCTCCATTCTAAAAACTCAGGGTGTGGGAACCACGGCAACTGTTTCATAAGGGAGCGTAGGTAGTTGTCTTCTGTCACCTGACTTGTAGTTCATAGCAGGGATGATGCTGACACTTTTCTGTTCCCTGTTTCTTTAAAGCAGGAAGGCAGAGCGTGAAGTAAAAGCTTTGGCAGCTCTCAATCACCCAAATATCGTTCACTACTACAGCTGCTGGTTTGGCGATGATTACCATTCTGTGGACAGCATTAACACTTCAAGGTAACTAAAAAGAATTCTCATAGCCCTAACAGGATGGAAGAAACTGTTATTTACTTGGTGTAGGCCAGAAGATAAGGCCATTACATTTAATTACATTACAGAAGATAAGTTATTACCTTTAATAATCACCAACCACAAACACCGTTTGAGACAATAATCTTGTCCTTGCTTCTATCCCTTGCTCCACACTTGCTTAAAAAAAATTTTTTTATTGTCCTCAACTGTTTTATTTTTTTAAATTTATACTTTTTTTGTTTTTTTGTTTTTTGTTTTTTTTAGTTTATTTATTATTTTTAGTAACCTCTACACCCAGTGTGGGGCTCGAACTCACAACCCCAAGATCAAGAGTTGCATGCTTTTCTGACTGAGCCAGCCAGGTATCCCTGTCCTCATCTGTTTTGAAAATCTCAGGTTTAGCTTTTTTGTCTCCATTGTTTAATTTGTAGGCTTGCTCACTTACCCCGGCTTCAGGCTAGGCTGTACATGCAGTCTTAGGAAGAAGGTTTGAACACATTATGGATGCTACAGCTGGAAACCCCTCCTCAGCTGCCAACACTTTTCTGTCCCTCTCAGAGACTCCTGATTGTTGGGGTGCAGTTAAGTGGTCTGTCTCTCTCTGTCTCTCTCTTTTTTTTTAATATTTTAAGTTAAGCTCCATGTCCAACGTGGGGCTTGAACCCATGACCCTGAGGTCAAAAGTTACATGCTCTACCAACTGAGCCAGCCAGACACCCCAAGGGGTCCCTTTTGAATACAACCACACCACTTACAGTGGAGTGGTGGGCATTGAAGATAATTTAAGACCAAGGAAGTACCCCACCTTGCATCACTCATGCTTTGTCTCAGGTAAGACCCTGACAAAGGACTGGAGGTCTCTAAAGACCTGGCATCTGCTTCTGAAAAGTCAGCCAGTGTTTCTTGGGGACTGTCCTCACTGAAATCCTGAGGACAATGAGGGTCTGTTCATTCATTGACTCCCACCCCCAGCACCAGCTCCATCCACCCCATGTGATTGAGAGCTTTATCATTAGTTTCAGGACTCATCGACCATCAGCATACAGACAGGACTTCTTCAGCTTTCAGCAGATTTTTGGCTTTCTTTTCCTATTTTCTAACCAACATAAATTTGAAGAGAATAAATTAATATTGAAGCCAACTTAGTTTATAAAGCAAGATAAAAACATGGTTAGCAAAATTAGTCCTCGCAAGTATATGTCATAGCAATTTGTTGGCATTTCTCTTTGAGAAACGATCCTTACACTATTGTTTTCGATTTGTTTTTCTGTATTTCTCTCTCATTAAACTATAACCCCCATGACAGCAAGGATAGTATCTAACTTGTTTTCTCATCTCTAGGTGACTGTTCTAGGCCTTTCACAAAACAGATGCTCAGTAGGCCAATAGTGAATTAAAATGTTCCAGAATTACTTTATGTAGTAATGCAATTTGGTTTTCCTTAATTCCATTGTATTGGTGTTGCTATTCCTTTCTACTAGCAAAGGTGATCAAGGACCCTTACCATTAGAGAATGGGCAGTCTCATACTTTGTAAATTACTTAACAAATAAAGCTCTGGACATTTGGGCACTTACAATTTAAGTCAAAAATGATTTATTGTATTTTGATTCAAGTTTATTACATTTAGATTTTCATGTTTTTTTAAGTTTATCTACTTATTTTGAGAAAGAGAGAGCATGTGTGTGCACATATGGGAGCAAGGGAGGGGCAGAGAAAGAGGCGAGAGAGAATCCTAAGCAGGCTCTGTGCTGACAGCTCAGAGCCAGATGCTAGCAAGATCTCATGAACTGTGAGATCATGACCTGAGCCAAAATCAAGAGTCAGACGCTTAACCGACTGAGCCACGCAGGCACCCCTAGATTTCTGCCTTCAGACATGTTTTGGGATTCTTAAGAAGATGAAGTATAATTTTAAAAAGAAATGTTATTTTTTTATAAATTTCTTTTTATTGCTATTTGTAATATACTGTGAATTTTATATCCAGACCAAAGACTAAGTGCCTTTTCATCCAAATGGAATTCTGTGGTAAAGGGACTTTGGAGCAATGGATTGACAGCAGAAGAGGCCAGACACCAGACAAACATTTGGCTTTGGAATTGTATGAACAAATAACAGCAGGTGTGGATTATATACATTGCAAACAGTTAATCCATAGAGACCTTAAGGTAAATGAAAATGTACTTTGTTAGGAATTGATAAATATGATTTAGTAATTTTATTTTTTTTAATTTTTTTAATGTCTGTTTTATTCTTGAGAGAGAGAGAGAGAGAGAGAGAGATGGAGTGCTAGCGGGGGATGGGCAGAGAGAGAGGGAGCACAGAATCTGAAGCAGGCTCCAGGCTCTGAGCTGTCAGCACAAAGCCCGACGCGGGGCTCGAACTCACGGACCGCGAGATCATGACCTGAGCTGATGTCAGATGCTCAACCGACTGAGCCACCCAGGCGCCCCTATGGTTTAGTCATTCTAAAACGTATCTTCTGTAGTTTTAGAATTGATTAACAGTCCTGAGGAAATAATATCTCTGATCGTCTGAAGTTAGAATGGATCTAGCTCTTGCCCCAAATACCATTCCATAGGACCATTCAGAGGATCTTCAGGACAAATCAATTTATTGAGACAGTGAGCCCTATAGGAAGGAGCTCATTCACTTCTGGTCCTATCTGGCTGCTCTGTATACTTCGCTTGCAAACACTGCTTCAGTAAACTACCTTTGCATGCAAAGAATTACTGTGGCTACCACAGCCAGTGGGCTGCTTTGTCATTGCCTCTGCTGCTACTCAGGCTTGTTTGAGAAGCAGAAGGGACTCTGATGACTGGCTTTGGGAACATGATTCTCCCAATTTCTCAGTCATTACTCTTTTTTTAAATATTTATTTTTGAGAGGGAGAGAGAGAGAGAGGGAGAAAGTGGGGG